GATTTGGGTGTCTTTCTGTCAGTGTTGCTGGAGTCACAGCTGACCTGGGGGATCTGATGGTGTTTCTGTGCCTCCACGCTGTGTTGCCACCCTGGTGTGGTGACAAGGGCATGGGAGCCCTCACCTCTGCAGCGTCATGTGGCCTCCAGGGGCTGTGGAGGCCTGGTGAAGGGGAGGTCGGCCCTGGGGATTCAGGGGCTGTGAAGTGGCAGCCGGCAGGACTCTGGGAGATCTGACCAAGTCAGGTGCAGGGCCTGCTTCCAACAGCGCCCTCTGCAGCAGGAGAGTTGTGCCTGGGGGCAGGGTGGTGGCATTGAACATGTCCCCTCCCCTGCTGGTCAGGGTAGGATAAGGCTTTGAAAGGGAAAATCTCAGCTCCTGCTAGATGATGGATGGGGACACACCCCCACCTGGAAAAACCCTGGTCTGGGGCTCCTGGAACTCTCCCAGTATCCTGGGTAGGGGCAGGTGTGAGGATCCCAGATGGCACCAGCCCCTGGGGTAGGCCTCTCTGTGGAGGTGGGCAGGGGTCAGGCACTGAGGAGGTCCTTTGCCTGCTTCGTAAGTCATCTCAGTGGCACATGACAGCCACCATGGGGAGTACTGGGTCACGGAAGAGCACCAGCTGCCCCAGTGTCATGGGCCACCCTGAGGCAGGACCGATAAGATTGTCCACAGTAGGGTAGAACTTTCTGAGCACCGGCCAGTAGAGGAGGGAGGCCGTGTAGCTGGTCACACCCTCCTACCCTGCGCTAACAGCTGTGTAGCCGACCCTGGCTGCAGACGCTGATACAGACCCGGTGGTGGCAAGGAGGGCCTTGGTGCAGGAAGACCTCGGTTCTGTTCCTTGTCTCTGCTGCTGCTTTTTACTCATTCAGCTCCATAGCCACATTGCCTCCCCGTCTCTTCCTTCCTGCTTGTGTGAAATTCAGACCCTTCCCAGTGTTGGCCTGCATGCTTGCACTGTCTTCTGCCTTTGGGCCAGCAGCCTTGAACTCTGCAGTCAGTGCCCTTGCTGAAATGTAAACTACTCTATGTGTTTGACTTCCTGGCCCACACACCTGCCTGCTCCCACTTTGGCATCAGGATATACTCAGCAACAGGTATGCGAGTAGTCAGGGGAGGGTCTGGTGACGAACCTTGTCCTATGCAAGCACATCCATAGACTGCTGTGTAAAGTGTGTTTCTTACTGAGAACTGTGGTTACAAAAAATGTTTTATAGAGAACTTGGTCTGTAAGATCCTGTACAGTGCCACATCACATTGAGTGTGTCACCTGCTGGCTCAGCTTTTTGTCTCTTCTGATTGTCCTGTGTTTCTTCCCGTCTTTAATTTGCACCCGTGGGGTGTCGGGTCCAAGTATGGGACATTCTTTATTCTACCCTACTTTTTTTTTTTCTCTGTGGCCTGTTTACTTTTGACATCTGGTTGTGTCATTCAACATAGCTTTATCCCTCCTGGTTGATGTCTGCCTATACAATCAGTAGGCTCTCCTCTGTCGTTACTGGCAACCAGCTGGAACGGGCGAGTCTGAAGACTTTCTGCCAACCCCTTGCTGGATCTGCTCCTTGTCACCTGTGACCATGGTTATCTCAACAGTGGTGAGCCAGGCTTCTACAGCCCTCTGCAGCTGACCAGGGGCCAGGAGGTCACAGCCCACTGCAGGGGTGTGGGCAAGAAGCCTAGTGAATGAATTGGTAATTAGGTCAAGCAATTAATGAGTGATCCCTGACCCTTGGCCTTGGTTTCAAGAAGGCAATGTGCAGTGCCGGGGCTGGGGCTTGCTGTGGCAGGCATGCAAGTAAGGTTGCAGTCAATGCATGGTGTGGAAAAATGGTTCATAGATTTCAGAATTTTTTACATAGACATAAACTAGTGCTGTTTTCTGCAAGTTTGTAGCTACTGCTCAGTTGCAAACTTGACAAGTAGAAGTGTGGAGCTTTTAGGAAATCCAGGTTTTGTCTGGAGTTGGATTTTTGACTGTTGAACAATTAGAAATATTCACTCTGTACATATAGGTGGGTAAAGCAGGTCCATAGTAGGTTTGGCCTGCAGCCTCAGAGCAGGGAGCTGTCTGCCAGATAGCTCCCCATCTGCTCAGTGGTCACATAGCAGAGAGCATTCTAGTTGGTTGGAAGCCGATAGGGTGTGGTCTTCCCAGGAACCTGACTCCGGTGGTTTCATTATGTACTAATTCTGGAATCTTCTGGGGGCTGCTCTCAAACTTGGTAGACTGGACAGTTGGGCATGAACCTTGCCCTCCTCATCTGTCGGTGTGTTCTGCTGGCCATTTTGCTCCAGCGTCCCAGGCATGTGCTGAGAATGGGGTCGGTGGGAGCCCTTGGAATTGGGAGTCTTCCCATCCTTGCCAACCTTCCTTTCTTCCTTTTCTCATATCCAGGTCTTCTGCCTTTCTGTTTCTTCTTGGTCTGAAAAGTGTTTTCCTTCCTAGAGAACTTAGAGGCACAAAGCTGCCTCGTTCCTCCTCGTTCTCATTCACACACCAAAAATAGCTGTTTAAGTCCCTTTTAGTTGTCTTGCCCATTTTGGGGAAGCCTCAGCTCTTGCAGCATTAGTCTTTCTGACACTGTTTTCATAAATCTCTGCTCCTCTGCTGTGTTTCTGCTTGGTTATGCATGTAAATTGGATCACTTTGGAGCTCATATCCATCCTTAGCTGCGTTAGTTTAGGTTTCTAGAAGGAAGGAAGGATGGGAGTGGACTTGATGAGATGCATTCCTAGATGTATGGTAGTATCCACCAAGGTCTGGAAAAGTCTGGCATTTTCTGTGGCTTGTAGGGGGAACAGACATGCTTTCAGTCACCTGTGAGAATGTTTCCACATCAGCCATGGACAGGAGGCATTCAAGTAATTACAGCCTGACATTGCCTTATGGGAGATACCACTTGCTGTGGGAGGGAGGCAGCTGCTTGAACAAGCAGTAGCAGGCATGTGTGGCATGGGAGCTAATGGAAGTGCCCTGGGGTGGGAGAGGGTGCAGTGGTGAAATTTCTGCTTGGGACACCTGCATCCTGTATTGGAGTGCCTGGTCTGGGTCACAGCTTTGTTCCCTGTTATAGCTTTCTCTTTTTTCTTTCTTTTCTTTCTTTTTTTTTGTAAGGATTTATTTATTTGAAAGGCATACAGAGGGAGAAATGGAGATCTTCATTTGCTGCTTCAGTCCCCGATGGCTGCAATAGCTGGAGCTGGGCTGAGCCAAAGCTAGGAACTTGGAGCTGCTTCTTGATGTCCCATGTGGATAGCAGGGGCCCTCAGCATATTAGCCAGAAGCTAGATCAGAAGCAGAACAGCCTGGACACAACCTGGCACCCATATGGGATGCTGACTACAGCCACTTTTTTTTTTAAAGATTTATTTATTTTTATTGCAAAAGTGGATATAAGGAAAGGAGGAGAGAAAGAAAGATCTTCTATCCGATGGTTTACTCCCCAGGTTGCTGCAACTGCCGAAACTGAGCCGAACTGAAGCCAGGAACCTGGAGACTCCTTGGGGTCTCCCACGTGGGCAAGCTGAGGAAGGGCCAAGAGGGCCCACCCAGCCAGTGAAAACCCCACACACAGATCTGCAGGATCCCTCAGCTTGCAGGGTCCCAAGGCTTGGGCCATTCTCAACTGCTTTCCCAGGCTACAAGCAGGTTGCTAGAAGGAAAGTGGAGCAGCCAGGACATGAACTGGCACGCATATGAGATCCCACCACATGCAAGGCGAGATTTTAGACATAGAGCCATTGTGCCGGGTCCCACAGTCACATTTCGTGTGCTGTCCCAATAGCACACTTTATCATTGCCTTTCCCCAGCCCAAGATCTGGCCTAGAAGAGTGCATTTGCTTTTTTTTTAAATTTATTTATTTTTTAAGAGAACATTCTGGGTCCTTTGTAGAATGCCCTTGGCTTTGCACTGACCTGTAGTTCCTCAGGATTAAATTCAGGCGATAGGTTTTAGCTGTAGTTCTGTGGGAGTGGTGTTAGGTACTCTGTGTCTTATCCAGAGAAGCATGCTATTGGTTTGCCCTTGGTGGTAATGACAATTTTGGCCATTTTAAGGTGGTATTGCCCAGATCTCTCCCTTATAAAGTTACAGCTATAGTTAAATTGCTTGTGAGAAGATGCTTTAAGATCGTGTAAGTGTGTCCTGCACTTCACCCAGCTTTGTCCTGGTGTCCTAAGCATGCCGCTGCTCCTGCCTGTTTGCTCGACATTCTGCGAGAGGAAGAGCTGCCCTGCTCGGGAATGAGTCTTGCAGAATTCAGATCTGTGTGTGGGGTTTTCACTGGCTGGGTGGGCCCTCGTGGCCCTTCCTCAGCTTGCCCTCCCTCGTTGTATGCTTTCGTGGACATGAGTGGTGTCGGGAGGAGCTCACTTGTGACTGGCATGACACCCGACACAGGGCACCATGCTGGCTGGGCTGTGTGTGGGCAGGTGGTCCCACTGCCAGCCGATGGTACCCAGCATGGGCTTCAGTGAGAACGGTAACCAGGAGAGAAAGGAACTGTGGGGTCCCTCCCAGCAGGAGGCGAGTGCGTGCTGAGTTTGTAAAGGCTGCTTTTCCCACACCATCTGGGCGTGCTCGTCGCTCCTGTTGCACGGTTACACGCTGGGCTTGTTGGGCTTCTTCGCCTCTTGACAAAAAGCGGAGTAAACACGAGCCTGTTCTTAGTGTGCCTCTGGTCCTCCCTGGGAGTTAAGGATCTCTCTGTGTGTCCTCTCTTTTTGGGGAGGGTGCTTGTCAGTGGGATTGATCTGAGGCTCTCAAGATCTGAGCAGCCCTAAGAGTTCCCTGTTAGGATCCCTTCAAGGTCTTTCCATTTCTGCTGGTGAAGTTGGTGAGGGAATGGGTGGGAAGATGAACAGAGACCCAAGAAGAGAGGATTTGCAACAAAAACAAGGGTTAGCTGTGCGTCTGAGTGCTGTGAAGCAGAGGGATGCTTCCAAATAGTGTGGTTCATTCTTTTAAATGTTTTTCCTCCTTTCTCTCTCCAGACAGGCTCAGAGCTCAGCCCAGTGGATGGACCTGCTGCAGGTCCGATGGACTCAGGGCCAGTGTACCATGAGGACTCAAGGCAGCTAAGCACCTCAGGGGCTCCGGTCAATGGTGCTAGAGAGCCCGCTGGACCCAGTCTGCTGGGGACTGGGGGCCCTTGGCGGGTAGACCAGAAGCCCGACTGGGACGCTGCCCCAGGCCCAGCCCACGCTGCCCGCCTGGAAGATGCCCACGACCTGGTGGCCTTTTCGGCCGTGGCCGAAGCTGTGTCCTCTTATGGGGCCCTTAGCACCCGGCTCTACGAAACCTTCAACCGTGAGATGAGTCGCGAGCCTGGGAACAGTGGCAGGGGGTCCCGGCCAGGGCCCGAGGGCTGCTCTGTGGGCAGCGAAGACCTGGATACACTGCAGACGGCCCTGGCCCTGGCCCGGCATGGCATGAAGCCGCCTAACTGCAACTGCGATGGCCCAGAGTGCCCTGACTACCTCGAGTGGCTGGAGGGGAAGATCAAGTCTGTGGTCATGGAAGGTGGGGAGGAGCGGCCCCGGCTCTCCGGGACTCTTCCTCCTGTCCCTGGCGAAGCCGGCCTCCCAGCTGTGAGTGCCAGGCCACTGCTCAGCTCCGAAGCTCCCCAGCAGCCCCCCTCAGAGGGCCTGCCCCTGTCCCAGAGCGCCCTGAGCATTGCCAAGGAGAAGAACATCAGTTTGCAGACCGCCATCGCCATCGAGGCCCTCACCCAGCTCTCCTCTGCCCTCCCCCAGCCTTCCCATCCTTCCTCCCAGGCTGCCTGCCCCCTCCCCGAGGCCTTGTCCCCTTCCACTCCTTTCCGGTCCCCCCAGTCCTACCTCCGGGCCACTTCCTCGTGGCCCGTGGTTGCCCCTGAGGAGCACCCATCTTTTACTCCCGAGAGCCCTGCCTTCCCTCCTGCGACTCCCAGAACTGAATTTCCTGAAGCCTGGGCCACCGACACCCCACCAGCAACTCCCCGGAGCTCCTGGCCCCTGCCCCGTCCCAGCCCTGACCCCATGGCCGAACTGGAGCAGCTGTTGGGCAGTGCCAGTGATTACATCCAGTCAGTGTTCAAGCGGCCGGAGCCCCTGCCCGCTAAACCCAAGATCAAGGCTGAGGTGCCGTCTCCCTCCCCGGCCCCAACCTCCTCCTCTCCCGTCCTGCAGAGAGAGACCCCCGTGCCAGCTCCAGAGCCTGACGCCCATCAGAAGGCCCAGACTGCCTTGCAGCAGCACCTGCACCACAAGCGCAGTCTCTTCCTGGAGCAGGCCCATGAGGCCTCCTTCCCCACCCCCTCAGACCCACCTGCTTCCAGCTGGTGGGCACCAGCCAGCTCGCCTGCGCCCCGGCCTCCAGATAGGCCCCCCAAGGAGAAGAAGAAGAAGCCCCTTGCTGCTGCTGTAGGTGCCGTGGGGACGGAGAAAGCAGCCCCGGGGATCAAGCCCAGTGTGCGCAAGCCTGTTCAGATCAAGAAGTCCAGACCCCGGGAGGCGCAGCCCCTCTTCCCGCCGCTCAGGCAGATCATCCTGGAAGGGCCCAGGGCCCCCACTGCCACCGAGGAAGTGCAGGCACCTGCGCCTGGCACGACCTCCCCAGCGCAGGGCTCTGCTGTCCCTTTGCCCCCAGAACCTTCTCTTGCGCTATTTGCACCTAGTCCCTCCGGGGACAGCCTGCTGCCCCCTACTCAGGAAATGAGGTCCCCCAGCCCCATGGCCACCCTGCAGCCAGGCTCCACTGGCCCCCTTCCCCCTGCCGATGACAAGCTGGAGGAGCTCATCCGGCAGTTCGAGGCTGAATTTGGGGATAGCTTTGGGCTTCCTGGCCCCACTTCTGTGCCCATTCAGGACCCCGAGGCCCAGCCCCCTTGTCTCCCTGCTCCTGGGAGCCCCTTCGCCACCCGCTCCCCCAAGCAAATCAAGATTGAGTCTTCAGGGGCTGTGACTGTGCTCTCGACCACCTGCTTCCACTCGGAGGAGGGAGGCCAGGAGGCCACACCCACCAAGGCAGAGAATCCACTAACCCCCACCCTCAGTGGCTTCTTGGAGTCACCCCTCAAGTACCTGGACACGCCAACCAAGAGTCTGCTGGATACGCCTGCAAAGAGAGCCCAGGCCGAGTTCCCCACCTGTGATTGTGTTGGTGAGTCTGCTTGGGGGTCCAGGATGGGCCATGACCAGTGGCCTTGGGCTTCACGTAGCAAATGTTTGTTGTGTGCTGGCTACCGTGCCAGGTCCTGGCAATATGGAAACGAACTTGTGGGAGAGATGGCCAAGAAAGCAGATGATGGTGTTTTGTCAAATGGATGGATTTGGAGGTTTTCTGTAAGGGGTGGTGCTTGTGCAGGGCTCTGGTGGACCAACAGGTGCAGCAGAGATGTTCTAGGAAGAGAGTAGCATGGGTCACAGCTCAGTGGCCCTGGGGAGGTGGAACCTGGCTGGGCCAGCTTTGATCTGTTGAGAGTGAAAGGTGATGCATTCACTGTTGGCAGGGGGAGCAGAAGGCAGCTTGAAGATTGGCTGGGACCTGTGATTGTGTGTGTTGGAGTTGGGGTGGCATGCCATGGTCAGGAGTTTGGCTTGCTCCTGGGGGGGAATAAGGAGCCCCTGAGGGTCTCGCAGTAAGTCGTTCCCTTGTGCTTCTGAAAGAGTTCTGGTGTGTGGTGCAGAGATCGGCAGTGTAAGAAAGCGTTGCCAGCCAGGCAAGAAAAGTACTAGGAAGGGCAGGGCAGGATCCCAGGGCCTCTTGGAGGAGGTGATGGGACCCATGCTAGTATTTGCTTTGGTGGTGACATCTGCTATGAATGCGGATGGGGAGGGGCCTGGACAGGCTGTGTTTGAAGTGGTCAAGAGACTTGATGGGGGTCTAAGGGGGGGTGGTTTGACAGAAGCCACGGGCAAGCAGGTGGTGGTTGCAGCTGCCCTGTGGGCAGGGGCACAGGGGTTAACTCAGGAGCTTGGCTTTCTGTAATCAGAGCAGATCCCAGGCTCTCTGCAGACCATGCCCCTGGTTGGGCACATGTGTTGGGGTGGGGTCGGCTATAGCGAAGTGTGCCCTGCAGTTGCAAGTGTCCTGTGAGGACCTGTGTGTTCCAGATGTTGATAGGAAACACTGATGCTGACAGTGAGCGGGCTCAGTTCTTGTGATTTGATGATAGGGTGTCTTGTTAAAATATGTCTATCAAGTAAGTTGTGTGCTTTGTTGGCTGACTGTTGAGTGAGGGGGGCGGGTTGGACTGCTTTGCAGGTTAGGAGGTCAGCGACAGTCACATGGGAAGCAAGGAAAAACTGGCCCTGAAACTTCTGTCAGGGCAGTCAGGTGTGCAGGATCTTGCCAGGTGTCCAAGTGGGCCCAAGACCGACTTGCTTACCAACCCTGTTCATTCTTAGATGTGGCTGGTAGTGACAGCACTGTGAGGGCCCCAGTACTTCCCAGTGTGTGGGAGGAGCTTGTTCTGATCCTAGAGGCTCATCCCGCCTCGTTGTTCTTTGCACCTGCACCCTCCACCTGTATGAGGTGTGTCTCTCGCCAAGTGGTCAGGGCGCTGCTGAGCTCAGTTATGTGGCCTTGTGTTGGGTGACACCAGCTTGTAACTTTCAGTTCCAACCCCTTCACTCTCTGGGAGACCCGGGGCACTTGGCCCTAGCCTGTTGGCATCTCGGTCTCCTGGTGAACTGAAGATGCTCACTGTACCTGCCTCGGCAGGGCAGCTGCAAGGATTGGCTTGAGCATATGCATCAAGCCCCTGGAGCCAGATGTGGCACATCAGGGCTGTGGGGATGTCTAGCTGGTCAAGTGAAACAAGGCTGGGAGAAGAGGCAAAGGCCTCCTATTGGAAGGGAGGCAGAAGGCTCGTGCTGTTCCCTGGGCACTGGTTTCTTGGTTTCCAAGCCTTGTGTAACTACTGGAGGGACACATATTAAATGTTTCATCGCCAAAGGGCTTTGTGATTTTTTGAGACAAAATAAATTTTTAAAAATGCACAGCTGTCTGTCTAGCGTGTGTGTGCCTGCCGGGTGTGATGACCCTGTGTGGCTGTGGGCTGCCGCACGTGGTGTCGAGATGGCAGGGATGCCCTGTAATACCCAGCTTGTGACTCACCAGGGTGCCGCTTGGCTGAGGGGACATGTGCTCAGCGCTGGGCAGAGAAGAGGAGGTGGCCGCTCCAACACCAGGACTGCGTGGGCAGGGGCTTGGGGCTGAGAGGAGCAGGCTTGCAGGGGGAGAGACTGGTAGCTCGGGGGTCCCCCCCCCATATCCGTGAGACCTGAGGCTCCCCCAGAAACAGGCCAAGTCTATTTGAAGCCACTGAGCATAAGGGAGGCTGTGAGGTATGAGAACGCATGCAGTGGCTGTGCTGGGGGCTGTTGCCTGGGTGGGCAGGGGACCGTGATGAGAAGAGAGGCGGAGCCCATCACCACCAGTCCCTCAGTACTCTGACTCGTGTTTCTGTGAAGAGGTTTGTACTTAATTGTTTTAATCTTTAAAGATTTCTTTTTTTATTATCTTGAAAGAGGGAGAGACGGGCTTCCAGCCACTGCCAGTGACTGCAGTGGCTGGGGCTGGTTCAGGCTGGAACTGATAACAAGATCCAAGCTGCTGGCGTTACAGGCTACAGGTTAACCCACTGTACCACAAGGCCCGACTTTATACTTAAATCTAAAGGAAGAATTACTAGTGTGTAAATAGTTACCTCACCTGGGTTAAAAAAACTAGAATACAGGGCCCGGCACGGTGGTGCAAGTGGTTAAAGGTCCTCGCCTTGCACACCCGGGATCCCATATGGGCGCCGGTTCTAATCCCGGCAGCCCCGCTTCCCGTCCAGCTCCCTGCTTGTGGCCTGGGAAAGCAGTCGAGGACGGCCCAAGGCTTTGGGAACCTGCACCCGCGTGGGAGACGCGGAAGAGGCTCCTGGCTTCGGATCGGCATAGTATCGGCCCGTTGCGCTCACTTGGGGAGTGAATCATCGGATGGAAGATCTTCCTCTCTGTCTCTCCTCTCTGTATATCCACCTTTCCAATAAAAAAAATAACAAAAATAAATCTTTAAAAAAAAAAACCTAGAATACAAATGGCCTTAGCAAACCATGGAAAAGGTATATTATGAGAAAAAGTATGTACTGTTTTTTTTTAAGATTTACTTATTTCATTGGAAAGTCAGATCTACAGAGAGGAGGAGATACAGAAACATCTTCCTTAAGCTGGCTCACTCCCCCAATAGCTGCAACGACTAGAGCTGAACCAATCTGAAGCCAGGAGCCAGGAACTTTCTGTGGGTCTCCCATGTGGGTGCAGGGTCCCAAGGCTTTGGGCCATCCTTGACTGCTTTCCCAGGCCACAAGCAGAGAGCTGGAAGAGAAATAGAGCAGCCAAGACATGAACCAGCACCCATATGGGATCCTGGCATGTGCAAGGCGAGGACTGTAACCACTAGGCCAGTACACACAAATTTTAAACATTTTTTTCACCAAAATAAACTCCCTTGCATTTCTCCATGAATTTTTTTTAGAGATTTATTTATTTTTATTGGAAAGTCAAATTTATAAAGAGGAAGAGAGACAGATCTTCCATCCACTGGTTTACTTCCCAAATGGTCACAGTGGCAGGAGCTGATCCCATCTGAAGCCAGGAGCCTCCTCCAGGTCTCCCACATAGGTGCAGGACCCCAAGGCTTTGGGCCGTCTTCTGCTTTCCCAGGCCATAAGCAGGGAGCTGGATGGGAAATGAAGCAGCCAGGACATGAACCAGTACCCAAATGGGATCCTGGCATTTGCAAGGCGAGGTATGGCTTTAGCCATTGAGCCATCATGCCAGGCCCTCTATGAACCTTTTCAAGTTCCTGTGTACATCAGTAATGGTGAGTTCTGCTTAGCCTGTGATGACCTGGCTCTTTTGTTTCTGGCTCTTTTTGTTTTTGCTTCTTGTAATGAGCCATACATTGTGTGACTGAGAAGTACTTCTGAAAACCTACCCTAGCAATAGCATGCAAGGTGGATTGGCAGAGGATGGTGACCATGTGATGGGGAACTGATTAGGAAGCCATAAAGAACAGTAGGAGGGAGACTTCAGAAAGTACACGAAGAAATGGAAAGTTTGTTTGGCATAAAGTATTGTTGTGTTGTATCTTAATGCACACTTTCTGTGTGGTTTTGGAGGTTTGCAGAGCACTCTGTACCAGACACTCTGCCCAGGTGTGCTAGTATGTGCTGCCCGTGAGGCGAGCTCTGCGTTGGGTCCATTTTAATGATCAGGAAGCTAACATGGATTAAGTAGTTTTCCCAGGGGAAGGTGAGATTTGGAGTTGGGCGGTTAGACATACATTGTGACTGCAGCTGGCTGGGTGAGGAATGTGTCCTAACTGCAGTGATGGGGCCAAAGAAAAGGGAGCTGCCTCGGGTGGCCTGTGGTGTGCCCAAGGGGCCCTTCTGGGTAAAGGCCGCCCTGCTTTCCAGAAGAGTCAGGGGCTCCGTTTACACCAGTGCTTCATCAGCTGGTGCACTGGAGCCGGGCTTGGTCCTGAGCGTGTGTCTAGCATGTTTAGAAACCCTGGTTCTTGGTGAGATTGACGTCAGAAGCCATCCCTCTCTGGTGACAGTGGGAGGTGCAGGTGGCAAAGTACTAGGAGCAGGAGATTTCCATTGAGAGGACAGTGAGCTTTGGAGTGTCTGTTAAGCACTTGTGATAAATGCTGGGTAATGAGTCATGGAATCAACTTTATAAAAACAGAGATGTTGTGTCTGCAGATTTATTTATTTGAAAGAGTTACATAGAGATCTTTGGCTGGCTCACTTCCCAAATAGCTGCAAACTGGGGAAGCCAGGAGTTTTTTCTTAGTCTCCCAGATGGGTGCAGGGGGCCACCTGCCATCCTCTGCTGCATGAAGCTGGATGGAAATGGAGAGGCTGGGTCTCAAATCAGTGCCCTTATGGGATGCAGGCTACAGCTTTTACTCACTATGCCACAGTGCTCACCCAAGCAGCTTGTGGCCCAGGTGCTTGGGTTCCTGCCACCTGCGTGGGAGACAGTGGAGTTCTTTAGCCTGGCCCAGCCCTAATTGTTGTGGACATTTAAGAAAATAAACTAGCTGATAGAAGATCTCTTTTCTTTTTCTCTTTGTTTTCCTCTGTCATTCTAATTTCAAAT